CTTCTAGAATTCTGGTTTCTGATCCATGAACTAAAGATTTAGAAGTCCTAAGAAATACTGTTAGGATGGGGCTTTATAACATGCAAGGGTTTTTTTTATCTCCTGATCTGGGAAGCAGCATAGGGAGGAAGAGGAGGGGACCTGAGTGAGAGGTGATATTGCCAGAATTTAACAACTGATTGAATGGGAGGCAGGTGTTAGGAAGATGGCTGAGAGTTTGAGCCTAAGTGGCTGGAAAATTGACAGTGTCCTTCACACAGAGGGAGGGGAATGAAAGGGGGAGCAGGCCTCTAAGGGAAGATGCTGCTGCCTCATGCACAGACACTGAGTTCTCGCCTCTCCACCCTGGCTGGGGACTTTGGGCAGCCCGTGCCCCCCTGGCTGAGTGTGAGACATCAGGGCTGGGCTGCTCCTGCCCATCCACAGGCTGTCAAGAGGATCCTGGTCTGAGTGGACCCCAAAGGCTTCTGGATCACAGGCTTTCATCTCCTGGTCTGCCCAACGGCTTGGATACAACAGTCATTTCCGGTGTTTACTTTCAGAACTGTCTTCTGATACTTTCCCTCCACACTTTTCCTACCAGCACCTGTCTCATCTATTCCCTGTGCCAGTCTCCCCGTCAGTGGTCTTTCTTTCCTTCTTTTCATATCCCAAAGCTGAGAGATCTTATTTTAACCAGAAGAAGAAAAAGTTACAGACTCTATCTACAGTAGCTTCCAGCAATGTGTGCATGAATGCGCATGCACACACACAAACACACAGGCATTTATTTTCCCTCTCTCTCTCCCCCGTCCCTCTCCATCAGAAAGACTCCTCCAGTAACACACTTCGCCTAGAGTAAAACTTACAAAGGTTTTCAGCCACTCCAGAAAAAGCGATGGCAGATCATGTGTGGATGCCCTTGTTGTTTTACCCCTTGGCTCTCCAGTCTGAGGTAGTGTTCCCTACCTGACAGGGATCACCACCAAACACCCAGCACGTCCACACCGCATACCATGCACCATGCTCAGTCACGAATGCACATCAGCTTTTAGCAGCCTTCCTGCAAAGCACTGCAGCTGCTTTTGCATTTGCTGGCTATAGGCAAGAGAGGGAAATATGTATGCAATCTAATTCTCTCCTGTCTCAGCCTCTGTTCTCTAAGGACCTATTGGATATCAATCCCAGCTTCTAAAAAGGGAATCATGATTGAAATTTCTCAGCCAAGAAAACTGAGTCACCTTGGGGTTAAGGGCCCTAGGTTCTCTTTTCAAAAAGCCTTCAGCACTCACAGCCTGAGGATCTTTGGGTCCTATTCTCTGGCTCAGTGTGCATCACACATTTTTGATGGCTGCTCCATCCATAAAACTTTTCTGAGCATCCACCCCGAGTATGAGCATATTTATTTACTTACAAATTCTAAGCATGTACAACTACATATACGTTATGCACCATACAAATAGATAGACTCACTAGAAAAGATATAATAGACATACTCAAAATATAGACATTTAAAAAGGAGGAGATAAAGAATAAACATAACTGGAAGGTTCACGATAGTCTTCCTACACCTAGCGGATCACTTTGTTCGACTCCTGGCACACATGGCCACCTCGAAGACTCGTCGTGCTTGTCCATCAGCTGCTCCACTGTGTAAACTCTGTGGCAGGCATTGCTACTGCTCACCAACACCTCCAGTCACTCCTTCCCTTCCAGACGCAGGGGAGAACTGCACTCCCCAGCCCTTGAAGGTAGGAGTGGCTCTGTGACTCGCATATCCAATAAACAGCTCATTTCTGCTTAGAAGCATCATGGACCATGATTCTCTGTGTTCTCTCTTCTCATGCCACAAAAATCCTGTCGAAATGTAGTGTCATAAGATGGACATCTGGGAATCCTCAAGTGGTTAAGTGAGCAGACCCTGCTGACCATGTTGCACTTGAAGTTTAGGAGCTGTTTGTTACTGCAGCAAAACTTACCTTATCTTGACTGATAGTATTTGTGGAGACCCAGATGCCATCATGGTCATGGGGCTGATCGCTCCCAACTAGTATTGCTGATAGAGTACTCCTTGGTAGTGACAGCCACCATGCCCTGGAGGGAGGAAGAACAAGGAACTGGGCATAGGATGGAATCAAGACATAAGAAACGGCCCAGAGTCTAAATCAGGGGTCGGTCCCTAACCTCTGGGCTGTGAACTAGTACCAATCAGTGGCTTGTTAGGAACCAGGCTGCACAGCAGGAGGTGAGCGGCAAGTGAGCGAAGCTCCATCTGGATTTGCAGCCACTCCCTAGCACTAGCATCACCGCCTCAGCTCCACCTCAGATCATCAGGCATTAGATTCTCATAGGAGCACTGACCTCTGGTGCCAAAAAGGTTGGAGACTGCCAGTCTAAAGAGCAAACTTGGAGGCCAGGAAGACAGCATCTGGGTGGACATGTGAAGGAATTGATGAGCAGTCTCTTCTCTAATCCAAAGTCCATCCTTGAACTGGGCTAAAGATCTCTAACTCAGAGAGTGAAAAATGACTCTCTTTTCCTGGCTTCTGCATGCCCAGTGTCTTCCTAATAGAAAGGAGTTCAATTTGGGGCCAAATATATAAATCCTTCTCCCTGAGGCTACTCTTTCGGCTTCTAAGGCAGTGGATCTCTGTCTTTAAGCAAATTTCAGGGGAATTAAAGTGGAAAATCACTTATATCACGGAAGCTACCTTTCCGTGGAATCTAAAGCATTGACAGCCCTGCAGATTGGCTGATGCAAGGACTGCTCATGAGTTACACCATGGGTCCTAAGTGGTTAAGAAGGGGAGCTGAGGAATTTGGAATTCTCTTTGAAACCTGATATATGGTTTAATGTCTTGGTCCAACTGCCCTCACGGAAACTAAATAACAGCAACTTAGAACAGGCAGAATTTTCTTTGTTCTACATAACAGTCTGCACATCTTGGGCTGGTAGGCGACTCTGCCGCACGGTATTGTTTCTGATCCATTCCACCTTTCCCCTCTGCTGCCTTTACCACTGAGCCTCCCTTTCATGGTATAAGATGGCTGCTCCAGTTATCACCTTCAGGTCCACTTTCCAGACAATAGGACTAGACGCGCACTCTTCTGGCTTATGGTATGGGCATAAGCCAGAAGTTGCACACGTCAGTTCTGCTCAGATCTCATGACCAGGATTTAGTCGCATGGCTGAACTTAGCTGCAAGGAAGGCTGGGAATCTAGTTCCTAGCTAGGTGGCCACTGACCAGCTGAATTTTGGACATGCTATTATTAGAGGAAGAAGAGGAGAAGAAACATTAGTGGACAACTAGCAGCCTCTGGCTTCTCATGGTGCTCTACGGCCTTCTTCAGGAAGCTTCTCCTGTGCCCTGGCCCGTGAGCTCCCACAGTACCCAGCACTGCTGGCCGTAGCACTCATCCACGTGAACTGTAAATGCCCACCTGCTCTTCCCTATGTACCACTAGGCGAAGCTTCGTGAACAGAGAGGCTGTGTTTATTCTGTTTACCCTTATGTCCCCAGGCTCCGGCACTTAGTAGGTGCTTAATAAATATTTATTGACTAAGTAAATGAACAGATGATTCTGTGAAAAGCCAGTAATTATTACTCTTTCGCTTGTTTCTGCTTTTCCCTCTTGTACGGCTCTCTAGTTCTGCCTCCCTTTCCATCTTTCCTTTCCACATCTAGGCCAGGCTCACCCTGGCCAGGCCAAAAGTTTGGGCTTTTGTGATGCACGATTATGAGGAAGAAAGAGGAGAGAGGAAAGAAGCAGAAAGCTAAGGTTGGAAGGACATTCTCTGAAGGACTGTGAAAAAAGTGGCTAGGGAAGAAAAGTAGATTTAAGAAGTACCCCCGTGGACATCGTGGCATTAAGAAATGTAAGAACAGGACAGAAATTATTTGAAACATTTTTTAATTTGTTAGACTGTGTTTCCATGACCCAGACGCTGCCTTGTGACTAGACAAGCTGTGGCTCAGAAGAAAATGACTCATAACACTAAGAAAAGAGAGAAATGTAAATCTCAGAAAACCTTCTTACCAACATTTCTCTCCTGCTTTGAATCCTTAGGAGAAATAAACAATCTTACCAAAGATCTCAGTATAATATATAATAGTGATTTTCAAACTTTCCAGGTTGTTTCCAAGCCTAGAAGCCATGATGTCTTCCGTATAGCCCCATGAGATATTTATATTTTTAATTCCATTTTATAAATCAAAAACAAAATATTTAGTAGGAGACAATATGATTATATCATATGTATGAAATATAATATCACAACCAGGCATACATATCCAAAAATAATAGTTGTCAAATTAAACATAAAAAACCCAGTTCTAAATTTCCCTGTTAATATCCATTTGCTACTGGTTCATCTTTTTTTTTGCAATTGTCTGTGCTTGCTGGTATATAAGCAATAGCAAAAACCAAAGGAAAAGTTTATGGGAGAAAAAGAAAACTGAAAATAGAGAAGATTCTATGCATTAACTAAATGTTTCTGTAAATTGGGAAAATACTCGTAGACTGTAAGCTCTACACAGGAAGTGGCATTGGCCATCCTGTTCATTGCTCTGCTTCAGTTCCTAGTACACTGTCTAGTATCTTCTAGAAACAAAACAAATATGAGTGACCTATCTTTCATTTTATCTGTGGAGCCTCTCATTCCAGCTGGAACATAATTTGAAACCTATTCGGCAACAGCAGTGCTCGTTGTCATTTTTTCTTGATGAACTCTTTTTTTGTTGGTAAACATGTACAAAGTTACGGGGCCACATTAGCTCTTACTGCTCCTGAAAGATTGAATGACTCACTCAATATGCACGAGATCATAATCCCAGCTGTCTGTGATTTTGGATGTGACTCTGAATAAGTGGACTTCTTCTGAGTAAGATTTGTGGGAACGTTCTTGTTGTTTTGTTCAAGATTATAGAACAGTAAGATGATAACCATAAAATATGACATTGTTATTTACATTTGCAAAGTCCAATATACTTGGGTTTTAAATTTTTTCTTCTTGTTTTAGTCATTTATTTCTTTTTTATTAATTTATTTTTAATTATATAAGTAGTACATTACTGATGCTTTATAATGATTAAAATCTAGACAATAAAAACCAGAATCCCCTTAATTACTATCTGAAAGCCAGTCCACTCCTCAAAGGTAAAAACTTTTTCCTGGTTTGTATCCTTCCAGATCTTTCTGTACATTTTTACATATGAATATATATGCACTTAGAGACATCTATATTTTTATTTTTCTCTGCTTTTATTTCTATAAATGGTATACTGTGGTGACTTTTGCCAGTGACTTGCTTCTTTCTTTTGGAATGTGCCTTAAAGCCCTTATATCTGTCCGTATAAATATACCTGCATGTTTAACCATTTGTGGTATTCCACGATACAAGTGTACCATAGCTTACTCACCTAGTCCGGTACTGCTGGACATTTAGATGATTTTTAATCTATTGCTTTAAATAAAATAGGCATTTTTTGTGTGTGTACTTCACTAGAGACATATGAGAATATTACTCTAAAAAAGATAGTGAGAAATGGGATTGCTGGGTCAAAGGGCATGAACACGTAAAGTTTTCATAACCACTGGCAATGTTCATACCAATTTATTCTCCCATGAGCATTGTATGAGAGAACCTGTTTCCCTAAACTCCTGCCATCACTATCGTACTTTAAGATGATTGCCAACCAGACGAGTGAACACAGTTTGCCATCGTCACTTTTTTTACAGTGTCTCAAATGCTGACGGTCAACTACGTTGCTGCTATTCAAGACGGTTTTCCTCACTCCTTTTTATTTCTTTCCCTCCCCCTACATAAACAAGGAGACATAACCTAAGCAGATGGTAGTGGCAGAGACTGCTAGCTGTCCACCAAATCTCTTGGTTTGGACACACAGTTAGACTACCTTCCCCAGACTTCTTTGCAGTTAGATAGCACCTTGTTGCTGGGTTCCGGCCATGGAAACGTAAGTGGAGGGATGGGTACCACTTCCCAGCCTGGCCTGTGAAAACTTGCCACACGCTACCTTCCATGCTCTGGTCCCTTCCAGGCATCGTGAGCCTGGAAGCTATGTGTTGTAGATGGCAGAACCACAGGAGAAAAGATGCCTGCTCCTTGAATAACTGCTTGGGGAAGAGATATCCACCAATGCAGAATACCTGTTTCAGATTTAATGTAAGCAAGAAACAAGCTTCTATCATGTTTGAGCATTTTAGGATTTATTACAGCAGCCATCAGTATGCTAATACAATGCAGTGAGGATCGACTCATTGAAATGATCATGGGTGCTGTAAAAAAAAAAAGATGAAAAAAAAAAAATCAGGGAACAGTTCCCTGGGCAATTAGGGATATCTCCCAGGGCAGAATACTCCATCTTAGAAACACTAAATAATTAGGAGCTAGCTGAAGGCAGAAAACCCTGGAATATTTCACAGGTTAGCTAGGAAAGGGATTTTATCCATTTTTCTGGCCCTCCCTGTGGTCTGACAATCACCACTTACTGGGGAGACTGTTTTTGGTCAGTGCTTCGGGCCTGGAGGACTCTGTTCCCTTGGAAATGTTCTGTCAGCTATCGTGGTCAATTATTGCAGAGAGTCTAAATGCTGCGGAATTGTTACATCCAAGGTCAAAGACTACCCAGAATGCCATTTACTGTTAGAATGCCACCCACAAGCGCGGGGCCATGGGGTGAAGCTACTATATGGTTACCAGGTTACCTGTTGAGGTTGACTATAGAGAAGAGAAATTGCCTTAGGTAGGGTCATACCCAGCATTTCTTGTGAAGCATAGCAGTCTCGGCCGGGAGGCTATCAAAGCTATTTGCGCAGGCTCTTGTCCTATGGTTATGAAAGAAAACCAACCCACCCCTCCAGGTGACTTGTCACCCACCAACCCCTTCCCCATTCTATATAAGAATTGAGGTGAAAGTCTTCATATCCTGGTCACATTCCAATAATGGTAAAAAGCAGTCTTTGTCTCTAGCTACCACAGGGAGGGGAGAAAAGAGACTTTGAAAGAGGCTCACCCATGAGTCAGATGTAAAAGTTAGAAAAGATCAAGAAGCCAGGCTGCCCAGCTTCTTCCACCAAAGCAGCAGTTTCCAAACAATGAAATGAAGCAGGAAAAGAGACGCAAACCTGGCCGAAGGCAGGAAGGAGGGCCAAGAGTCCCTTCTGCTCACTCATGTCCATTTCTGTCTGGGACCCTTGGGCTCCCAGAGCTCAGCTTGAAAAGCATCTCTCTAAAGGTTCTTACAGATGGTCCATCCAACGATCTAGCTGGAGGCACTCTCCAGAGTGTGTAGCTCCACACTCAAAGGTAGTATACCAGCAAACCTGGACCTGGGAATCTTAACATGGGCCATAAAGACAGGAGGGCAGAGACTGTTGCTTTTTGTCTATTGTATTCCCAGTACCTGGCTTGACATTGGGCACATAAGAGGCACTTACATCCTGGGTATGCGAGAATGAAAGAAGCTTGGTCTTCGTGTTACAATCAGCAAGTTGCTTTTTGTCTATTGTATTCCCAGTACCTGGCTTAACATCGAGCACATAAGAGGCACTTAACATCCTGGGTATGAGAGAATGAAAGAAGCTTGGTCTTCGTATTACAATCAGCAACAGTTATAGCATATTGGCCATATACCACTTTACAGTTTACAGAGCACTTTCCTTTATACTGCCATCCGATCCTCAGAATCTACTGTGATCTAGTCAAGA